GAAAATCAATAAAATAATTGATAAGATTGCAATTAACATATTTTTTTAACTCATTTTTCATTTCTTCAGATGAATATTATAGCGCATCACACATATTATCCTATCATTCGATTGCTTGTGTGTCTCAAACGAAACTCATCGTTAGGAAATTTGTAACTCTCTAGGATTGTGTATTTGAAAAGAAGGGGAACCGGAACGAAGAGCACGTGGAACGATGAGCACGGAACGATGAGCACGGAACGATGAGCACGGAAACGATGAGCACGAGAATGATGAGCACAAGGAACGATGAGCACAAGGAACGATGAGCACGAGAATGATGAGCACCGGAAAGTTAAGCACGAATAAAAAAAAAAGTTCAGTCTAATTTCCGTTAAAAGATCAATCAAAATATTCGTTAATAAGATTATATATTAATTTGAATGAAACAGTGTAATAGGTTTAATTTAATGGTAATTGATAATCTAATTTCTCATAAATGAGACAATCATATTTAAAAGAAAAAGACCAATTTTTCTTGTCACTCATTTTCATTTGTTCAATATGATAACAATATCCACTTTTGGTACAACGAAAAGAAAACCACTCCTTGATTACAATGGCCATTCTTATGTGAAAGACCGATCAACAACTGAAAAAATTTACTGGCGTTGTAGTAGATACTCAACACAACATTGTCGTTCTCGTTTACATACATGTATTTTAACTAATAATATTGTAAAACCACCAACTGAACATTCATGCACATTTGATGGTACAACATTGGAGCTTCGAAAATTCGATCAACAACTTATTGACCGTGCCAAGAGCACACAAGAAGCACCGGATATGATTGTCACTAATTGTATTAAAGGTAAAGGGTCCTTATCTCTAACTCGTATATTGTAAATACACCTTTCCTCGAGTAGGTATGTCTGATCAAGCAGTCAGTCGTTTGCCTATTCGCGACAATATAAAACGACGAATCAGAAAAATACGTTCAAAGAATGATTATACAGCTGTACCAAA